TCTCTGTCTGTCTGTGTGTGTGGACTTTGTTCTTCATGCTGTTTGTCAGATTTCATTCGTGTTGCTCTTTGACCTTCAGGCAGCAGAAAGTCGAAGCTCTGGAGGTTTTTTGTCTTTCAGTTCAGATAAAGACTCGCAGTAAGATTTGGGGGAACAAACATGAGCGTATGAAAATATCTGATTTCACTCTCAGCGTGTCAAACTTCCTCTGAAAGCACCTGCACAAAACATTCTTTCAAAATAAAACAAAGAAAACAGGTCAGCAGACTAAAAGCAGTTTGAGACCAGAGACACAAACAGGAAGTAGTTTTCCTGTAAAATAAACAGAAGTTCGTCCACGTTGGGACCAACCACAACTCAGAACTCCCTCCGGATTCAGCCTACCTGAGTCCTGTTCTTGGAGAAGAAAGGGGTGCGTCCTCTTTGGCCGTCTGTCTGTCTGCCTGACTGTCCGACTGACGTGGAAAGTGTCCGTCTGTCACACTGCAGGGTTTTTATAGACACTCCCTGGCAGGGGGAGGAGGCCGAGTAGAGAGGCAGGGAGTGTCTGAAAAGGGACAGGACTGCAAGAAAACACAAAAACCTGTTACAGGCACCGCTGAGGCACTAATATTATCACTATTATAGGACTAATCATACTGTCGAATACAGCAACAGCATAATTCATATATAATCTAAGTTCAGGACACACAACCATAGATGTTATACTTTAAGTAGTGAGGAAACCTGCATTGTGCAGTATGAATATGTATTTACCATATTAGTAGAATCAGGATTAATGGTCGTAGCTGTGTTAACAATAGTTTTAGTAGTAGATGAAGCAGTATTATTGGATGTAGTGGAAGTAGTTGTAGCACTGTTAGCAACAGAATAGACTCTGTATGGACTCTGTATGGACTCGTATTCTGTTATCGTCAGAGATATTGTGTGCGTGCTGGCTGTTCTTCAGCTGCACCGTTGAACCGTGCAGTGATTCCACATCTGATGCTGCTTTCTGGAGTCAGCCGGTGAAACATCAGCATGATCTGGCTGCTCTCTCTGCTGCAGTCGGTTGCACAGCAGATCACTGTGTGTCTATGTGGACGTCTCTGGGTGATTTTCTGTTTTTTGGTCACTCCTGATCACTCACTTACCTCAGGTCAGGAGTAGTTGCTGCAGTATTAATTAATTGTATTGGTAATAGAAGCAGATTACAAGTACTAGCAGCTGCATTGTAGGAGTATTAGCAGAAGTAGGAACAATGTAGATTGAAATGTGAGATTCTGTATCGGTGATGTACATTTTATCAGGCATCATCACTCCTCAACCTCCAGGAATTAAATATTAGAGCAGCCAAAATCAGACTTTTAAAGCACTAATAGATGAAAAGTAAATTAAGCTCAACAACAGTGCAGCCCACAGGATCATTGTGAAAACAAAAAGATTCTATTAGAGTAGAAAGACGATGTAGAAATAAAGAGAGGGAAAGACTTTGTTTGGAACAATAAACCAGTTTATTTCTTGACTTCCTCAAAGAGTGAAGAGGGTAAAAGAAGAGATCTGTCTGTGTCCAACTCTTCCTC